TTGTGTGTGTGTGTGTCTATCACAATAACGGGTTCAACTTTTTTCTTTTATTTTCTCTTTTTCTATCTTGTAGGGCCTTTTATTCAAATTTTAAAATTATAATTACCATTTTTTTTGTAAATTTAAATCTGTAAGTTGATATATACTATGTTTTTTTTTTTTTTTGTAAAATTTTATTATGCGTTGTTTGATAGTTGTTGACTGAGTTAGATCTGAGTGTCAGTTTTAGCTTCTACTTCTGATTGAAACCATATTGTTTGATTACGGATCTGACTGATGTGCTAACCCCTCAAAATGATCATTTTACCTTTCTGTTTTTGTTTTGTTATAACTTTATAATATTTCTCTCGATTATCTATAATAGAACAAATTATTTTAAAATCAAAGAAGTTGTTTAGATATGAAAATTAAACATTTCCGGCAATACAAATTAAAACATGTTATGGTTGATAAAATTGACATCCAAGTCTTTATCAAATAGCTCTTTGAGCACATCACCTTCAAAATCATAATACCGGAGATCCAAAAACTTTAATTTCGGTAATTTAAGAACAACATTAGGGAATTTTCTGACAAACCTGTTGTTGCTATCTTCAACTTCTAAAACTTTTTCGAGATTGTTTTGTAGAGCCGATTCAAATTGATGTGGAACAAAGCAAGATCAGGGAGAAGTTCGACCTCCTCCATTTAGTACCCTACCATTAGGTACAATACATAAACAAAAATTTCTACAATTGGGTATGGATAGACGTATTTATGATGTAGGGTTGCTATAAGAAGGAAAAACTTGGAATCTTCAATAGAGAACACAGGATAAAGGAGTCAGAGATGGGTAGAAAAGCCAAATTTAAGATCTTGTGTAACGCCCCGATTCTCAGGTATTGATTTAATGTGTGAGTTTTTGATTTCAAGGGCTACTCGACGAGTTGATTGCCCTACTCGTCGAGTAGCAGCGGGTTGGTCCACGTATTTTAATGACCTACTCGCCGAGTCCAAGAAGGGACTCGACGAGTAGGAGCTGGCAGATGAAACCCTAAATCTCGGGGTTTTGCACCCTATTTAAAGGATCATTGGCCTCCCCCAGCCTCCCCTTTACTGCCCCTTGTCCCTCTCAAACCCTAAATCGTATGTGTGTGTTCTTTGGTGTGTTCAAGCTTGGAGGAGGAACTTTGGAGAAGGAAACACTTGGGGAAGCAA